ACCGCAATCCCTTCTCCTCCATTCTCCTCTCGGGATCTTGGGCACGCACGCACACGCACCCGGCGTGAGTTTTAAGCCACTGGGTCCGGGACTGGAACCATGGTCGACTGTGGGAGTCCAGCGACATAGCCATTACGCTAACTGCTGGTTCTGCATCCTGCTTTCTTACGTTTCTGCGCTCTCTCTCTCGTCCAATTAAAAAATAATAATAAATAAATAAAATAAAGGTAATCATTCTTTTTTAAAAAAGAAAAGAATCATTTGCATTACCATAACTTTTTTTTATAGCTTAACTTCTACCCCTATGGAGTTGTGAAACAACCTAGTTTTAGAAGACAATCAGAGGCCACATGACCCACCGACAGGCTGGCAGGACCACGGGCTCTCTAGAAGTAAAACCCGAAAGGGGATATAGGAGCTTGCCCGAGTCTCCCTGACCCTCTCCTGTCATTTCAGCACCATGAAGTGTCTCACAGGCCTGGTGTCTGCTCCTTGATCCTGGGGGTCAGCAGCTGGTTTTCATTCACTAGTGAGGCTGCCCAAGGAGCTTGGGACACGTAGAGGGTCTCCTCTGACATGCGAGGAGCCAATTATACAAATTCTTATAAATTCATTCTTTAGCTCTGTTTTTCATGAAAGCCTTCTCTAACTGAGATTCCCTTTGGCTAATGAGTGCCATGGCCGCCTGTCGGTGGGTCATGTGGCCTCTGATTGTCTTCTAAAACTAGGTTGTTTCACAGCTCCATAGGGGTAGAAGTTAAGACAAATACTTCCACGCTTGGAGGAACTACAATGCTGCCCAAAGGGACCCTGGGGCATCTGGGTAGCTGAGGTGATCAGCGATGCCAAAGAGAATATTTAGGTTCACAGGTCACAGAGCTGAGGACCTGATGGCTGACCAGGCTTCCAATGAATGGGGCCAGAGTGGCAAAGACCCCAACCACGTAAGACCTGCTGGCCTGCCTGAGGAGTACTGAGTTTCCTCCTCACTCTGCTCTCTAGAGACCGAGCTGACAGCCCATGAAGGTTCAGGGAGTTATTATTGCATTTGGGTCTCCTGAAGCTGGAATAGGACACACAGATTTCTAATAAATACTTATAGATTGAAAAAAAAGAAGAAGACAATCAGAGCCCCAGTCAGAGCCCAAGAAGGTGGCATGGTGGTTAGAGTGCTGAACTCTGCATGACTGACCACAATGTGAGTACCAGACCTGGTTACTTGAAAATCACGCCAGGAGCATGTGCATGTGTGCCTAAAATCCCGAGAGGAGAGAAGAGGACAAGAGATTGCAGCGTGGTCATCCCTCCTTGGAGGATGATTTCTCGCTTTCCCTCTGTCTCCCTCCAGTGACCTCAGGTACTTCTATTGGCAAACAAACAAACAAATAAATAAATGAAGAAGACGATCAATAGTACACCCTCATAGAATCAGATCATCCCCAAGACTTGTAGGAAAATACCTGGCATTCCATGGAAAGGACACCCAGTATTCTCTTTTGCACATTTCTAAGTCTTAGGCAATTACTCCTGATGTCAGCAGAATTGAAAACGTTGCCCTTGATTATAACTCTCACCGTCTGAGGTGGTATGGTCTCTTGCAGACTGTGCATTTTGCTCTCGGTGGAAAGACATCATCCCTCTGACTTTCACTGTATTTGGTCACCGAAAGATCTTCCAGTCTTTCTCAGTTCTGGGTCTGGTTCCTGGAGCATCAGCTTCCTCTTGACTAGTCACTTCCCCTCATCCTCAACATTCAACGAGGGCATCGCCTTCTCTGACCTGGATGGTGATTTCTCCCAGAGTATAAAGAAAGCCCTCTTCCTCTGAGGCTGAAACAACTCAGTGGTAGCACAAAGGCAAGCTCATAATGAGACCTAGCCATTCCAACACATGGTTCCTGAAGATAACTATCTCTCTAGGCCTTCCTATAGGTGGCGGTGCTAGCCAGCCAAGCCCAAGGCTGTCATCCAGGAACCTTCTCCAAAAAATAAAGCAAGTCAGGTCTGAGTAGTAAAGTTGTGATGTCATTGAGACAAACCATCTCTTCTCTCTTTTATCCCTACTAATGGCCATGAAGGATATAATTTACCCCGGTTCTAAGAAGCGGCCATGGCACTTATTAGCCAA